CCAGATCCTGCAGATGGTAGGAATGGAGGGTGGCCGACAGGTCTTTAAACCAGCTAAAAGCTCTGGAGTGGGTCAAGAAGTTTCTTAGAAGGCTGGCAGGCAGAACCCTGGGTGAAGGCCCAAGAACTTTCTGTAGGAGCCCAACATCTCCAAGAGGCAGCCCAGTCCTCAGCACCATCAGTTCTTCAGCCAGGAAGCCCAGGAAGGCACTACTGGTGGAGCTAAGAATGGCTGCCACTTACATCAGATGCCAGGCCACAAGGCCACCAGACACACTACAGTAGCCACTGGGTCCTCTGTAGGTACTGGTAGGTGAAATGTCCCTGAGGTTGCCTTTCTATACTGGGTCCCCAGGTGTACCTCCAACTGCACCTGAGTCCCACATTCATGCAGAGTGGGGATGTTCAGAGGATCCAGCCACCAGGCTAGTGGTTTGCATTGCTATTAGAGTGCCTGGCTCTGCATGGCACTGCAGCTGGGGTGCTTGTGGCTGGGGTTCTTAGACAGTGGCCATCAGGGCTTGTTGTTCCTGGGTTGGGGCCAAGCCCAAAGGACATACAGGATAACTGGGTATCCCATGGAGTACTGAAGGGCTCAGAGGCTGGAATGAAAAGCAAGTGGCCAAGTTCTCCAGGTGGCTTCACAGGTCTGGGGATAGCACCCCGGGTGTCCTGTGGCTCTAGTTGTAGTCAGGTGTAGTCTAGTGTAGTCAGTCCTCTGGTGGCTCCATCAGCTGCTGGGCTGAGGACAGGCATAGCACTCATATTAAGAGACACCTGCAGCAGGTCTGGTGCTACAGGGACGGGGTGTATGATGCTGTGTCTTGGGGCACTGAGCTTCTCTGCAGCATCGTATATTTGACCCTGGGAACTCCTTCACCATGGTCACTTGGCAGCTCCAGTGCTTGAGAGCTGTGCGGAACTGGTCCAGCAGCTGCTGGAAGCTGCTCTGCAGTTCACATCGCACATCTTCCTGCTGCGCTGTGCAGGGGACCCAGTGAGGACCCTGGTCAGCCTCTGCTGGCCTTGGTTCTGGGATGCTGGGGCAGGTGGATGCTCATAGCTACCTGGTTCCTGTGAGATCTGTGGTCCCAGTAGTGAACACTGCCTCGGTCCTGCTCACTTGGTGGTTTCCCCTGAAACTAGACCCCAGTCATATCCACCCCACTGCATCAGGATGGATCCCTGAGAAGAAATCCTGGACCTCAAGGGATATCTTTCTGCATTTATATTCTGTCCAGTGGGTTCTAGCCTTTCTCTCCCGTGCAAAGTGTTCAAAAGTGCCTCTCCTGAAGTTTTGACTTAATTTTGCTTTGAACATAATCCTGCCCTAAAGAGATAAAGTATATTTTAAAACAATTCATCTTTCCCTACTCCTGCATCTGAGAGCCAGGAGTATAGGGCTCCCAGCCTGAGTTGTGAATCCCAGCCCCATTCTAAGATCCAGTGTCTTCAAGAATCGGTGGGAACAGACCTCTCTCTTCTTGGGCACCTGCAGCAGGAAATCAATCTCAGAGAGCATCTCAATAAACAGACAAGGGCAGACCTACCCTGGTCCAAGCTGGAAAGGTCTGCATTTCTCCCTCTCTGACCCAACCCCTTCCACGGGCCACCACTCGGGTGCTCTAGCACCCTCGGGAGCCTGGTTTCCAACTCAGTCCTTCTGTTCCTATGTGTATACAGCAGGGTTGTGCTGAGATGGATACTGGCCCCAGGTTGCCCTGCACAACAGAAATGCAAAGCAAACCAACACAAGTTTACTGCCTTGAAAAACTGATGTCAATGAGACTAATTTTTAAGTAAAATTTCTTATTTCAGGCAGTTTTACGTGTACCCCAAAAGTCCACAGAGCATAGCTTTCCCCTTCACTCCTGTCCTGCCTTGCCCTGCCTGCTGTCATTAGCCCTGCCCACAATATCCCTCTGTTACAAATGGCGGACCCCCATTGACCTCACAATCACTCAAGGCCCAAAGGTTACAGTGGAATTCACTCATTATCGTGTACAGCCTGAGTGAGGACAAACATGGACTCACATTACAAGGCCACACGGAATAGTGTGACTTCCTTAATTTCCTCAGTAAGTGTTCTGCCTATTTCTATTCGTTTAAATCCCCATGTAAAAGCCTTGTATGTAACTTTCAGTCATTCAAAATATCTGTGGCGCATCATGATGCCATTCTACACACAGCAGTGCTGGCTTGTGCAAGCAGAGGTGTCCATTTGTCTAGCAAGTTTACCGGAAGCCGTAGGCCACTTGCTACAAAGGTGTGGGACAGGGTGAGGGAGCTTCTAGTAGCTTCTGCTCCAGAAACCAGTCTGCATACTACTGAGGACTTGACAGAAACAACTTCCCCTGAAGGGGCTTAGAATTTGTGGTATAAACAACTTCCCTTGAAGGGGCTTAGAATTTGTGGTGTGAAATGTAACATGGGCAGTTTGGACTAGATGGCCTCTGTATGCAACAGTCCAATTATTTGAGGCATTAATCAAGAAATAAAATTAACTGAACTGCTGGCTCAGGAAGAGGGCAATTTTAGTGCACATACTACTCCCTACACACTCAAAGGATGAGCAGATATTCTCCCAGTATTTGGGGAAGCTTGTAATTTTCTTTGTGCTTCAATGAACTTCTTTCATAGTGGGGCTATTTCCTCCCAGATTGAGGTGAGTAACAGATACAGAGCTCCCTACTCAGCAGGATGTGGGTGAATCTCCAGGAATGGCTTCAAAATTAAAACAATGGATGACACACTTGTCAGGTCTCTGAATTAGACCCCCACCCAACTAGGAGAGAAAAACTCTCCCAAAGAGATCTGTTATTCGCACATAGTGGGCATGGCATTCAACAGGAAGCCAGCAGCTGACCCTGCCCAGCTCAACCTGTAAACAGCTGGTTCCATGAAAAAACCACAAGAGTCATGCTGTGCCTGCCAGCATCCCCTGTTCCCAACCCTGTCTGACATCTAGTCTTAGACCCCTACTCAGAGACCCAAAATTTTGTACCCCTCTCAGCAATACCTCCCTCCCCTACCTAAACTCCCCTATAAAACCATGTCCCCATCCATTGCTCTTTTCACCCTTGACCTGACCACACCCAGTCTTTGCCTGCCTCAATGGTCTCAGTTGTGCCTTGGTTTAGTGTAACAACACTCAGAATAGAATCACTATGAATAAGCCATTTCCTGTGATTGACTGTTATCTATGCTTGATTGTTATCTTCTTGCTTAACTGAGCTTTTGTTCACATGTCCCTCTTTGTCCTCCTGTACCCTTTGGATTTAAAATCTATTTTGTCTGGCAGTATAGCCACTCTTTTCTATTTTCATTGCAATTTACCTGGAAGGTCATTCAGTCACACTTGCCTGTTCCAGTTTTGGCCTTTGGATTTGCTTGGATCCTGTTTTCCCATCCCTTCTCCAGGCTCCGTCTTCCAAGTGGAAGGTGGTGGCTCCCTGGGAAGGAAAGAAGTTAGTGCTAAGGAGGAGCTTGCCTTTGTCCTTTGGTTGTCATCTCCCACCCACCTCATAATTCACAGTCCCTGGTTTCTTGAATCATTCTTTTCGGAGGAAAGTATCTGAATTTCTTTTTCCCTTGTCCATACTCTATAGATATTTCTTTTGAGGATACCATGGACTTTACATTGAACACCCTCAACTCACAATGCTTTGATGTGAACTTGTTCCAGCTAAACTCAGAGACCAATAAAATGCTGCTCCATGCCACTCCCACATCCATTCCCTGTTGGGTACTGAATTTGTAAAGTTTCATTCCTGTGGGTCACATAGTGTGTTTAAAAAAACATATAGTAGTATTTGAGTTTTAGTTTTTTGATACATGAACCTCTTAAAGCATGTAGCAAATAAAACTAGTCCCGACTTTCATAAATAGCCATGTATTTAGCTCTTATTATTTATGTCTTCAGAGAGCTTTGAGTTCCTGCCTAATGTCCTTTCTTTCAACCTCAAGGATCCCTTTATGCCCAATAAGTCTAGTAATAGGGAAACAAATTCTTCAATACTTGAATGTTAGAATGACTTAATTTCTCCATTTTGTAGGGAGAGTTTTCCTGGGTATAGAGAATTTGTAGCTGACAGAGGTTTTATTTTGCTTTGCTTTTTCATCCAACATTGCACATATCAACCCATTTCCTTCTGACACCCAAGGTGCTTCTATGATAAACTTAATGATTATCTTCTGGGGAGGTGATGATGAAAGATATTTGCCAGCTGATTAGGTATTAATATGCCTTACTGAGTTTCATAAAGAACATCCTCTACATTATAATGTCATCCTCTACATTGTAATGTCAGCGAGGTTGTAAAATCAGTTTGAGACCAATCAGTGAGAATTTAAAGAAAAAGGAATTATTGAGTGTAGATATAATAAGGTCTTTCAAAACAGAAGGTATCACAAATTATCAAGCCAGATATAAAAAAGACTTTTCAAATATTCCAGGTTTTTAATTCTAAGAAACTTAAGTGTCAAGCTCTGTAAGCCATGTTAGTGAAAAATTGTTATAACTTCTTTTAATTATAGCATGAAAAGTCCTAGGGACCAAAAAGTGATATAACTACACATATTAGAGACAGCCATGACCAGACCATTTTGTGCTCTGGCCTCACAAGGAACCACTGTGAGGCCACTTGAAAGGTAAATTTTGTAAGGCCATGACCAGAGGTTTCATGCCATTGTGAAGTCCCTTCAGAGGTTATAAATAAGGCTCTGGCTGGGGTGGCTTTTTTGGTCCTAAAGAGATCTCTTGTTTGAGGTAGCCTCTTAGATAACTTGCTCATTTTAGGGCTGTTGTCGTACAGAGATTGTAAAACTTGGTAATCCATCATGCCTACATTTGGGACTGAGCATAGTGAACTAACATCAGCTCTAGACTTCCGGGTCAGCTCTCCCCATTTGGAGACGCTCAAAGACCAGTATCATATCCTATGGAAGATAAGCTAGAGAAGTTTTGCTAATGTAGTGCTGGCCAAGCATTTGTCCACTGGAATGACAGTGCCCATCAAAATACTGCCAAAGGGAGAGACCGCAGCGTGTCGGAGGTCGACATTATGAAATCATTGCAGCATCCAAATATCATCGAGTTACTACAGGTTATTGAAACAAAGGAAAATGTGTACATGGTGATGGAATATGCAGGTGGAGAAGAGCTGACAAGTCACATCTGTGAGACCAATGGACCTACAGGAGGAGGAGGCCAGAATATTTTGGCAGATCATCTGTGCCATACAATACTTCCATGAGCAAGGCATCGTTCACAGGGACCTCAAATTGGATAGCGTCTTGTTAGACGAAGATGGCACAGTTAAAATCTGTGACTTTGGATTAGGGACCAAGATCACTCCTGATCAGAAACTGAAAGAGATCTGCAGTACATTTCGCTGCCAGACACTGTGGCTGAAAATTGTTGCACAAAAGACAGCTATTAGCTGGGGACATTTGGAAGCTTGGCATTATCCTCTATGAGATAATGGTGGGGTTCACACCATTTAAAGAGCTCCGTCCCTTGCATCTGAAGCAGCTGATCCTGCATGGAAGGCACTACTGTCCCTGTTCCTTCTCCACAGATCTGCAAAATCTCATTAGCATGCTTCTCACCACTGACTCACAATGGCCAACACTAGAGGAAATCCTGTGGCACGCATGGCTCTGCCAGAGTGAACCACCTTCTTGTCCTCCTCCTGATCTGCTTCCAGAATATCCCAAACCTGAGATCCTAAAGTTGATGTCAGCCTTAGGACATAACCCTGAAGAAATCAAAGAATCCCTCCGGTTAAAAAAATATGATCACCGGATGGCCACTTATCTTATTATGGAGCACCAAGCAAGCCAGGGAACAAACATTTGCATCAGAGTGAAGCCAGAAGATAAGGGTGTTACACCATCTCCACACCCTACAGATCCCACCACCTCAGCTCTCCTCCAAAACAGTGGTGAACCTGTCTCCAACAGTGACTCCTTTCTCTCAGGGAATCGCTTTGACAGGAAACATGAGCTCTGCAAGACCACCCAATCCAGCACAACCCACCAGCTTTGCCCTAAGTCAACCCCCTGCAGCTCCTGTAAGAAAAAGATGTGCTGGGAGAGGATGAACAGGGGGATTGCAGCATTCATGCAGAAGCTGAACAATTGCTGCCTGCCAGCCTAGAAAAAGAACCATGTGGTTCTAATGTAAGTATGGTATTAGACAGCAGAGACATGGACAAAAATAAGTGACAGGGTGGTCCAGCTGCCTGTTCTGTATTTTATTCTATTTTCAGAAGCTAGAGGAGGGAAAGGTAGGAAGGAAGGAAGGGAAAAAGATAAAGTGTGATAAGATATGATAAACAATAAGACAGCTCAGCTGGACTAAAGTCCAGAATTTAGAGGGTGGGAGAGGAGAAACCCCAGTCCATGCCTGGATCTCAGTACACAAAGCCCCACCCCTCAGAGATAGTCTGGTGGGTCAAACAAACCCAGAGGAAAGCTGTTGTTCCCACGTAACTCTAACCCAGGGGCCCAAAGAATTAATAAGTAGAAGCGAGCAAAATGTAATTGCTAGGCTCCATTGCACCTGTCTCCAGGGATTACAGGGGACAAGACACAGGGGAGAGAGGAGATTTCCCCAATACATATAATTTTAACAACAACAACAACAGTAAGCCACCTATCTCTCCCACGTGCATTGGGAGTACAGTATAAGAAACATTCAGTATGTCGGGATATCTTGTGGTGAAACACTATGTTGTTTAAATCGTTATGTTCTGACCTGTGCTGTTGTGTTGTTATGTCCTCTTTTATCTCAATTTCCTTATTTATTTATTTTTAATTAAGGGAAAAATAAATAAAAATAGCAGGACATATTATAGTAACCATTTTGATTTCCTGTTAACTTGATTTGAAACCCTGTATTGCTCTCACCATCTTGTTTTGACTGATTTTACTCTATTCTGTTTTGCTTGATAGTATCAAGTTTGAGGGTATAGGCAACTACTTTGAAGACAATAAGATTCACTATAATGCCCTTTTCTGGTTTGACTATTGTCTTCTCTTGAAGTCCTGTAACGTCTCCAATGTTTAGGTTTTATTGGTTTTGTTCTGTACTGCTGGGTTCAATTTTATTATAACTGATGAGATAGGCAATTCTTTTTAAGATAGCAAGAGGCATTATGGTAAACATTGTTGATCACCTTGTATTCTGTTTTTACATCATGTACTATGTCCATCCTTTTGATTTGACTGACTTTTTTTTGGTCACATTTGGTTTTATTCTCTTCAAAACAAAGTAATAAGAACTGTGGGAGTAATAAACCCCCAAATGTGTAATTGTTATTGTAAGAGAGGAAAAGAAAGTGCTCTAAAGGATATAATTGCATGTATATTTAAGTGTAGAAGATAGATAACCATATTACTGAGTTGTGTTGGATCACTGAACAGAACTGTTTGCAGTCTCACTGTTTGAATGTCTATTTTGTATCCTTTAATTTTGTAACTTGAACAACTATTTCTAAGCTGACAATATGTAATCTATTAACTAGTGATTCCCCACTGTTTATTTTTTTTGAAATTCTGTATTACTTGTACCCTTTTTCTGTTTTTTTTTTTCTCTTCCTCCTTTAATAAAATTAAAAAAAAAAAAGAAAGAAAGAAACGTTCAGCACCCTGCCCATTTCGTCAGCAGGCTCCCATGGGTGGATGAGGGCATCCAAAATGTCAACTGAGAAGGGCAGTTTTGCCACAAAGTCAGAAAACAATGCTGTGACTCCTGGGAGGAGCTAGAAGAGAGAAAGAGTGCTTCTTGTTTTTATGGGCAGACAGGAAACAGACCGCAGTGATTGATATCTGCTACAGAGCCTTTTGACAATATTATAGGCAAGAAAATCCTGTGGAAGGAAGACTGGAAAAGTCTAAAATATTTATCCTCCAAATTGACCAAGATAATCAGTTGAGTCCATGGAGTTCTGAAGTGAAGCATGACTGGAGTTCAAAACTATAACCTAGTTAGGAGAGTGCAAGGGTCCTCAGGCCTCCTGCTCTGAAAGCTCTGGATCAAGGAGTAGCTGGAGCCCAAACTCCTGCAGATATGGTAAGAATAGTGAGCTCTGAAATGCACTCTTTGTCTTAAACTAAGCTTCTTAATCTTTGCAGCATAAAGATTCATGGTTGAAATATCATCTATAATTTCCCCACCATAAACAAGTGGAGCATTATTGTACTCATTTTATATCTGAAGATAGTAACTCTCAGAGAAAATTATTGCAGATGAAAGATGAATTTTAAGTTGTCTGCAGTCCTTATTATCAAGCTGTATGCCAGCATTTCCCACAGTATGGTCCATGAATCTCTGAGGAGAGATATTGTGATTCTTTGAAGAAATCCAAAAAGGTAAAACTATTCAGTGTAATACCAAAGTGATATTTGCCTTTTCTACTCTCAATCTATTGTAGAGTAGTAGGGTTTTCCAGAGGCTTCATGAATTGTGATGATGTCGTTTCCCTGACATTAATGGAATATGAGCTAGTAACACACCAAATTTTCTAAGGTAGGCTCTTTAAAGTTTTAAACACTAGAGTGCTAAGGGGTTCTCAGACCACAAGTTTGAGAACTGCTGCTCACAGCTGCACTGTGTGATCAAAACCCTCCCAGTACTAGCAATAAAACCTTTATCTACCATGAATAACATGGAAATATCTTGCATAAATTGTATGTCATTACCATCTCATGAAAAGAGAAATGAGTAATCCACTAGATTTTACTTTTATTGTATAGTCTTACCCTGGAATTGTAGAACTTTTGAAATTTAGAAAACAGGAGACCTTTTCTAAACCTCTTGGGTTCTAAGTTTTATATTACTTTTATGGTTGAAATAAAAACTGTCCAAGATCAGTTCTTCAGAACAAGCATGTATATGAATGTTGAGGTTTAGCTGAAAAACGTACTCCCCACTGACACATGCAAACCTCCTGAACTCAAAGGCAGGACTTACAGAAGGTGCTTGGATCGCGAGGGTGCTTTCCTCACCAGTGAATTAATACACTGATGAATCCGTAGCTGACTCTTGTAGGGAGGCGGGACTTGGTCTGAAGAGGAGGTGGGGACATGTCCCTCTCTCCATGGCACCTCGCTTCACTCTGTTTCCTGGCCTCTAGGACAGGAGCAGCTTCTCTCTGCCAGACACTTCCATTAGGACTTCCTGCCTTGGAGCCAGCTGACCGCAGACTAAAATCATGAGCTAAAATAAGCCTCTCCTCCTCCTGTAAGCCGTGAGTGTGGGGAATTGTGTCTCACTGATGAGAAAGCAGCTAAAATGCGAAGTGAGCACAGTAAGCCTGGCTGTGGGCAATAAAAGGGACATTTTCTGTCAGAAATTTAAAATGATAGCAAAAGCAACTAAAAGCTGTCTCCTTTTTATTACTATCATAGTTTAACAATTCTAAACAGGGTCAATGATCAAATATTCCTCTGATCACTACATTGAAGTGAAAAGTACTTGGATCTGCAAGGCTTCCTTAGAGTCTGAACTGGTATCAGAAGTCCTGAAGCCCATCCCAGCAGGGTGGTGTCTCTGAAACCACTTTCTGGGCTGTTTGCTGGGGAACCTCATCAGGATCCCCCAGCCTCCATGTCACCTCTGTGCCAGGCTGCAGGACATTCCTAATGCTTATTTTAGCCACCATGGAAATGCCAGACCCACAGACATCAGGATTAATATCTGTCAGGTACCCAGATACAAATTGCAGAGTCTCTGAGTGTCCTGTCTTTTCCCATTCTCTGGTTTAATTTCAAGCCTTTTCCCTGGCTCAACAGGCAGTGGGCGGGCGGGCTTCCTCTGGATCCCTGTGCGGGCAGGGCTCCTACCGCAGGCCTCGGCCCATGCTGTTTCTCTACCTGCCTGGCTGCTTCTCATCCTCCAGGCTTCCACTGAAATCTCATTCCCCAGACCCCGCCTGACAACCCATGGAAATGACATTCCCACTGTGCACTGTCCTCATATCCTTCACCCCTAGGCCACTTATCCCCAGTTGTGCATTGGCCTGATTCTTGTCTATCTTTGCCACTAGATTACAAATTCCTAAAGCTCACTATTTCTCATCCTCCCAGAAACACATGTGCTTGGCACATGGTAGATGCTTGGTACATATTTTATGAGTGAATAAATAAATGAGTGAATGATTTTTTTTTCTCCAAAGAGAGCAAAATTTGGACTTTGTGAGGAAAAGACCATCTATTTTTTCAGTATCTAGGCTGCTGTTAGATCTCTTAAAAATCACAGAAACTAGAAATTCATATGATTTCAATCAGAGAAGAGTTGAGTGAAAAGAAATCAGCCAATAAGCACAGTGGGGCATCCCTGTAATTCTGGTACTCTAGGAGGCTGAGGCAGGAGGGTTTCAAATTCTATTCCAACCTGGGAAATTTAGCAAGACACTGTCTCAAAATAAATAAAAGGCTGGGAATGTAATTCAATGCAAAGGTCCTGAGTTCAATCCCTGACAATATCCACACACAAAGTCAGTCCGATGTCTGCCTCCTATGGTAACATAGACATGATTTCATAATGTATGAAGCATGATCAAAAAATGAATAAATGTTTAAATGTAAAATTTTATTACAGTAAAAGACACATATGATTTCCCCCTCAAGACACTACCTTATTTCAAACACACTTCATCATTCATGTCACTTTCCAAACCAGTTTACAGTTTATGTTTATGGCAATTTCTGTCACATAAAAACATTACAGTGTGTCTTCATCCATCTTATCACCAAATCTGGCACCTTATGACTTCTGGTTTTTCCCTAAAGTCAAAATGGTCATGAAAGGCAAAGATTTTGAATCAACTCAGGACATGAAAGCAGTTGTGACTGCACAAATGAAGACACCCCTTCATTCCAGAACTGCTTCAGAAAGCCCCAAGGACCATCGGATAACTGCCTTCTAAATGAGAAGAGAGTACTTTGAGGGGGATTAATGGCAATGTGTCTCAGTAATAATTCTTTTAAGTAAACATTTACTGTATATTTTTATCACACCTCACAGATTCTATTTATAAAAAGTTCAGAAACAAAAAACTAAGTGAGAAAGGGATGAAAGTGTGGTTAAATCTTGCAGAAAAGGTGAGTGAGTCTTCTAGGTGACTGGAAATGTTTACATCATGATCTGATACT